GAGATGGACAGCCATATGGTGCTGCAGATGAGGTGCTGGGCGCCTTGTCTTGTGCACATGACACCCTCTGCACTTCAAAGCCACACTGCACAAGTGCCTTCCACACCTAGGCTGGCGCAAGCGGGGTAAGTAAGGCTCAGAGAAGCTGAGCAACCTAGCTCGAGAGCCATGTAACTAGGAGGAAGCAAAGCTGAGGCTCAAACCAGGCCAGCAAGCATGGCCCATCTTGAGAGATGAGATCCTGGGAATTTGAGAAAAACTTTCCCGATTAGTAAGTTACTACAGTCTCTTTTAAACCCCATAACCCTCCTGGGGGCCGGGGAGATGGCTCAGTAGAATAAGCGCTTGCCTGGCAAGCACAAGGGCCTGAGTTCAATCTCCAGTTCCACCCCCCAAAAAATAACAAAATAAACCCCATATCCCTTTGCAACTCTAATGAAAGCTAGGAGTTCTTTCCTCTCCCCAAAATGCACATTCCTAACACATAGGAATTCAAACTGAACCTTATGCTCGGACAAGGAATAGACTCAAATCAAGTAAAGACTTGGTTTGGTAAGGAGCCACTAGGGCTGTCTTCCCTGGCTCAGATTTTGAGAATAGCTTGAATCAATTTTTAAGGGAATTAGTTAATATTCAACAATTCTAAAAGCCAGGTGTGGTGGCACACACTTGTAATCCCAGCACTCGGGAGGCTGAGGCAAAAGATTGTTGAGTTTGAGACCAGCCTAGGCTACAAAGTGAGCTCAAGGCCATGAGAAGTGCATAGTGAGACCGTGTTTAAACAAGACAAACAAACAAAAAACCCAGCCATTCTAGGAGTTCCCAGTGCCTGGGACCCAGGAATTTGCTGAGTGAAATTCTTACAGTGCTGGAGAAGCCCTTGGGCTGCCATGAAGCTTCTGCAGCTGCTGGAGGTAGTGATGGTGAGAAAAAACAGGAAAAGTTCTGGTATTTATAACCAAACCAACATCTTATCATTCGCTATCTGTAATGATCTGCGGAAAGACGAAAGCTCTGAGAGCTGGAGAATTAGAGAGCGCTTTATTTCATAATTGTTTTTTTTTTTTTTTTTTTTTTTTGTTAATTTGGTGGTTGAACTCAGGCCCTTCCTTCTATGTTGGCTACACTTATTCCACTGAGCCATCTCCCCGGCGAGAACGCTTTATTTCAGAAGCAAAAGTGTGACTGTTAAACTGGATTATCAGCTTCAGACACACCCACCAGATTAGTGCAGCATACACTGGGGGAGTCTGGATGGGTCACCAGGAGCATGACTTTGGAGGCTGTGTCACTTGTTGGAACCTCTCCTCCTTTCAGTTGCAGGTGTTGGGTATTTGGCTCCAGCAAGGGAAGAACCAGTCCAGAGAACTGATACTAGAAAAGTGGGTTGTTGCTTTGAGCACACTTGAATATATGGTTCCAAGCATTTTAAGCTGGTTTGTGTGGAACATTTGAAAGGTTTGAAGATGAAGGCTAGACAAGCCCTAGATAGCTCTAAACTGAACTTAATGGGCAATGCTCATTCTCAGGGGGAGCTCAGAAGTCCAGGATGCTTATAAGAATATGAACAATGGGGCCGGGGAGACGGCTCAGTAGAATAAGTGCTTCCTGGCAAGTGCAAGGGCCTGAGTTCAATCCCCGGTTCCGCAAAAA